TTTCTTACCATAATTCTTCAAAATGTATCTAATTAGTGTGTTTTTGTATTGAATTTTTGTATTGTACCAAGAAGTATATCTATCTTATTAGCATGAAAATTTCATCTTGTTTTTAATAAATGATAAATTATATATATATAACAAAGAATTGTTTTAAAATAATTTTTTGTGTCTCATAAAACCAAACAGATTTTTCCATTGCTCAAATATTTCATATATTTATAATGGATTTTGATCAAGTCTACCCCCCATTCCATCCCCTCCAGTGTCTTGACTATCTTACCATCATATTTGTCTCCTAACATCAAGGGTCTTCCCCTACCCCCACCACTAAACCTATTGAATTCATTTTCTGCTGCCTCTATACATATGGATATCAGACTATCTACTGAAGCATAATTAGCCTCTCAGGGCCCACATCCTTAATGAAAACTGACTGTTTCTATCATCTATCAGTTGACAGTAGCTCCTTAGCTTGGAATGGAATATCATGATCACCTCCCTCCTCCTCATTGGGATTCGTCCTAGATTGAGTTTGGGCATGCTATGAAAACAACTGTGAGTTATATGTGCATCTTCCCTGGCTCTTAGGATCTTTCCACTCTCTCTTCTGCAGACACCTCCAAGAAGAAGAAGTGATGTATATGTCCCATTTATGGCTAAGAATTCCACAGTTTCTAACTTTTTTGTACTTTGGATAGCTGTATGTCTAAGAGTTTATCACAAAAAAAAAAACAAGCTACTCTGATGAAAGCTTGCATTAATTCATGGGTATAAAAGTAACTCATTAAGTCATCAGGAGTCAATTAATACTGTTCCCATTTAGCAAACCAATAATAAATTAGTTTTTTCCTAGATCCTTGCCCCTGATAAGAGTGTCAGGTATGGATTTCAACTTGTAGAATGGGCCTTAAATCCAATCAGAAAGCATTTGGTTACTTCTATGACATTCTTACCACTATTGCATCAAAGGATATGTTATGCTGAGTCCACTCATTACTGTATCTCACAGTGTTCATAGGTTACATAAGATAAATGATTACTTTTTTCCTCTAGTCCTATGTGTAGAACTTTTCAGCATTATAAAAGCTAGCCAGTAGAAATGAAGCTTCCAAGTGAACACCATCTTCATTTTTTCTTTTTTTTAAAGTAAATTTTATTAAATTATAAAAGTTTCCATTTCCGCCCCTCTTCCCAACACCCTCCCACTCCCCCCACTCCCTCTCCTCCTCCCTCTTAGTCCCTTAGGGTAGTCAGGGTTTCCTGCCCTGTGGGAAGTTCCAGTTCATTCCCCCTCCCTCCAGGTCCAGGAAGGTGAGTGTCCAAACAGACTGGATCCCCAAAATCCAGTATATGCAGAGGAAACAGGTCCCAGTATCATAGTCAATGGCTTTTCAGAAAGACTTCGGGCCAGCCACAGTCAGAGAATCTGGCCAAATTCCGAGAATCTGGTTTCTCCAGCCCATCATTTTTTCATGATTTCAAATATGTGGTATCTTTAGCACTAAGACCCTATTGTCAAGTTCTAGAGGGTAAACAGTTCTGCAAGTAATAGCCTACAATGTTTGAGGGGATCAAAAGAACCTCAATGAAAAATTCCCAAGATGCAACCCATTCTTGGCAGTGGACTTTTTATTTGTAACTCTGTGGTGTGGTATCTGGGAGGGCATTATTGCCTAGTTGTAGAGTAACTCCATTTAAAAGATTTTTATATGTGTATATACATATAGTTTAAGAAGTTCCCATAATAGTAGGTTTCCATTGCTTTTTCAAAACATTTTTAATATAAATTTTCCCTCAGTGTATCCACTTCTCTACACTGCTACCCTATCCCAGCCCCATTTAAGACTTATCTCATTATTCCCTTTAAACTTTTTTTAACACTGCATTTAATCTGTAGGTTATTATTGGTAGGATGGCTATTTCAATGCTATCAAGAGAGAAATTTAGAAGTTCAAACCCAGTGGAAGTTATTTTGACTGAGTAGAAACTAAAGTGCTAGAACAATGAATAATGATCGCCATCAGAGTCCCTCATTGGTCTTCTGTATGTGCTGGACTGACAGTGTCCTTTGATGGTCCTCTGCTTGCACTGAACTGATAGAACTCCTCACTGCCACAGTAATACTAGGGAGGACAAAATCAACACACTCTTTGCTCTCTTAGTTGGCTTGGGGTTTGTAGGAAGTAAGTTCGATCACCAATGACTTAAGACATAAACTTCTCTTTGAGCAGACTAGAAATCATCCTGGAGAAAGAGAATACAAATCTGAAGTGTGAACGTTCTTCAGGGCCCCTAAGTCACTTTGGGAAATACAAAGTCTTGGAACTCCATCTAAGAAACATTAATTCAGATTTATGCTGGTAGAGCTCATGACTGGACTCAGTATAAAGCAAACTCTATAAGAATGAGTATGCAAAGTTCAAGATATCACTGTTTTTTACCACTGAGTAGAACTCCAATGTATATATGTGCCACACTTCCTTTAACCATTCTTCTATTGAGGGGCACCTAGGTTATTTCCAGGTTTTGGCTACTACAAATAGTGCTGCTATGAACATAGTTGGACAAATGCTTTTGTAGTATGATTGGGCATCCACATTGGAGCACTGGACTGAGCTCCCAAGGTCCAAATGAGAAGCAGAAGGAGGGAAAACATGAACAAGGAAGTCAGGACCGCGAGGGGTGTATCCACCCACTGAGACAATGGGACTGATCTAATGAGAGCTCACCAAGGCCAGCTGGACTTGGACTGATGGAGCATGTGATCAAACTGGACTCTCTGAATGTGGCTGACAATAAGGGCTGACTGAGAAGCCAAGACAATGTCACTGAGTTTTGATTTACTGCATGGACTGGCCTTGTGGGAGCCTAGTCTGTTAGAATGCTCACCTTCCTAGACCTGGAGGGAGGGGGAAGGATCTTGGACTTCCCACAGGGCAGGAAACGCTGACTGCTCTTAGGACTGGAGAGGGAGGGGAGAGGGAGTGGGGGGAGTGGAAGGGTTTTGGGAGGAGGGGAGGAGGTGGAAATTTTTAAAAATAAATAAATAGATAGATAAATAGAGAAATAAATAAATTAAAAAGAATGAGTATGCACTAATGTTTGAGGATTTTTTCATTTCTCATTTAGGAAGCCAGTATGTAAATGGAGATTGGTCAGTGTTAAGCAAACTAATGATATTTTCAGAGCATTTTCAACATAAATTGGTAATATTCCAGAAAGAGCCATCCCAAATCTTCTTTTCTAAGGGAATGAATAGAAAATTAAACCAAAATCAACTTCATAGGCTGGCAAATCCCTGGGGGTTGCCTTGATCTCCCATAGGACATCTAACTCTTCAGAGTTTTCCAAATACTTTAAACCCCAGCCAAAGAATAAAGTACTTTAAAATCCCCTTATTTAAAATGCAAGTTTTTTCCATTTCCTGCTTGCAGTGGACTCCTGGAGTTAAAAGAAAATGCACTTAAATCTGCATAGAAAGACATTTACTAAATAACATAGCTAGATTTTTGTACTGAGTTATGTTAAATCCCAGAAGGATGGTGATTATTCACAAGTGTCTTAAATATGGGAAACCAATCTGTGGATAAGTGTAAATTTTTTGAACTCCCCATGGAGAAGAAACATGTAACTTAAACAATTTAATATTTGTTAATACAAAGGTCTTTATTTAGAAAGACCAGTTTAAAAGTGGAGACAGCAGTAAGGGACATATTGGTAAACAGTGAACAACAGGCACACTAAACATAAGAGTCAAAATTGTATGGCTAATATTTATAAAATTAGTATTTCTAAGATACCTGGAGATAGAAATACCAGTTTCATATATCTTTAAATAAGTTTTCTGTTTCTCAAATGATTTTAAAGTGCTAGAATGCATTTTTATTACAAAGACAAATCTACAAACTCAAAAAGGGCCTTTCATGACTCTCATTCAGTGGTCCCAGGAAGCTGTAGTTTGGATCAGCAGTGGAGAAGTTATCCTCCACGAGTCCTTGAAGGATCATGGGAACCTGAGCAACCATCAAAGAATCCTAAACACTGAATTTCTTTTGTTGGGCAATCCCTCCTCTATTCTGTCTCTCCTGGAGTGTAACTAACATTATTTATTTCTTCACTCTGAACCTGCACTGATTCCTCTAAACTTGATGGGTATTAATTTCTTTTGATATATCTATGAGCCAATAGGCTAGGAGAGTGGTTCTTAATCTGTGTGTTGCCACCCCTTTGGGGATTGCATATTAGATATTTACATTATGATTCATAACAGTACAAAAATTACAGTTTACAATGTAGCAAAAGAAATAATTTTATAGTTTGTAGTCACCACACATGAGAATTTGTATAAAAGGGTCACAGTATTAGGGAGGTTGAGAACAACTGACCTAGACTTAAATGTCAGGTAGGAAGGGATTTCACCTGTTCACCTATGTGAGAGCTAGATCTTAACCCAAGGAACATGGTAAATACTCTGTGAAACCCTGCCGAATAAATCAATTTCAGAGGAAGGTGTTGTTTCTGAGTTAAGGGAGTCATGATGAGGAACAACAGCAGCAGTCGTCATTTTTATAACCTATTATTTACTATTTAAAAATACATTATTAATAAATACATTATATGGTACATTTTACTTAATCCTCTGACCCATTAAATAGAAAATCTAGAGTAAGCTGGAGTGGTGCATGCTTGTACCATCTCAAAACTCAGAAGACTGTGGCAGGAGGGTGATGAGTTGCAGGCTACTATAACTACAGTATAGAAAAAATTATCTCAAATTAGCAAAACAAACAGTGAAAAACCAAAAGCAAACAAACAAACAAAAAACACTGATACCAGAAAAGAATCTCTACATTATCCATAGTCTTAATTTTATGTATGAGAAGAATGAATACACTAAATAAATTGCACAGTAACCTCTTGGCCAGCAGTTGATTGTGCCCAAACTGAAAGTCACATATCTGACTCCAGTTCTGTCTTTTCATTAGACTTTGTTCTTGCTATATTTCAGAAGAAAAAATTCTCCTATGACAGACAAGCCTCTTCAAGGCCCCCTTCATGTCCTTGTTCCTTAAACTATAAATAAAGGGGTTCAACATGGGAGTCACCACTGTATACATTGCAGCAGCTGCAACATCCTTCTCTGTGGACTCTACAGAGGGAGGGAACAGATAGACACTGAAGAGCGTCCCATAGAAAACACAGACAACACAGAGGTGGGAACTACAGGTAGAAAAGGCCTTTGAACTCCCACCTGAAGTCTTAACCCTAAGGACAGCAAATAGAATGTGGACATAGGAGATGACAATACTTACAAAGGGGACCATGAGTACTGTGCCTCCAAAGCCAGAAAGCACTAACTCATTGACATGAGTGTCAGAGCATGATAGCTTCAAAACAGAGGTAATATCACAGAAAAAGTGAGCTATTTCCCCAACAACACAGAACGACAGTCGAGCCATGAGGAGAGTGTGAGTCAGAGCAACTATATTTGTGAGGACCCAGCACAGGGCAAGCATCAGGGCACAGAATCCGGTATTCATGATTGTGGAATAATGGAGAGGGCGGCAGATGGCCACATAGCGGTCATAGGCCATCACAGCCAGGAAGAAGCTGTCCAGATCACCAAACATCATGAATAAGTACATTTGCGTTAGACAACCAGTATAGGAGATGGTATGGCGCTGCGTCTGAACATTAAACAGCATTTTGGTCACTGTGGATGATATTAAACCCATGTCAGCAAAGGACAGGTTGGACAAAAAGAAGTACATAGGAGTGTGGAGGTGTGGGTCAGAACAAATGGCCAGAATGATGAGCACATTCCCAGTCAAGGTGACAAGATACATACACAGGAAAATTCCATAGAGTAACAGCTGTTGCTCTGGAAACCCTGATATTCCTCGCAGGTAAAACTCTGAAATGATGGATTGGTTGTCCATGAGCCTATAGAACCTGGAGGTCAGAAAAGATAGCATGATTCTCATGCTGTAGATGCTGGCTTCTGAGCCTTCCAATCCCCACATCTGTATTTAAGTTCAATCGCTTTACTTGCAGCATGACACAACATCTTTCATGTTCATGTCTTTTTGATGACTCTCATATTCTCTCCCCTGTATTAGATATTATATTCTTATCATGATCTTCAGGTATACTCTCTGAATCATTAGCAAGCCTTAGCCTAATTTTACAGCTCCTGTCATTTCTATTAGTGTGATATGGTGTATTCATGAAAATGCTGAGGTAGGATAATTTTATATTCTTTGGGGAAATGATTCAATGCAGAAGGAGAGAGAAAGATGGAGAGAGAGAGAGAGAGGGAGAGAGAGAGAGAGAGAGAGAGAGAGAGAGAGAGAGAGAGAGAGAGAGAGAGAGAACTTCTTTTTATACTGATGGATATGCACTTTGCCCATGCCATCATCTTCATCCTTTAGGGGACACTTACTACCTAGTCACTTGTTAAGTGTCAGGCACTGTTAAGCATTTCCACAGACTTCTTCATTATTAAGTGAACTAAGGCACAGAGGTTGACACTATTTACCTGCACAGGGTAGGGGGTGTAGGTGTTTGAGTGGTTTCCACAGGTACCCACCACTCATAAAAGCAGATATCATCAGAATTCGGTCATTAATCAATACAAAGAAAGTAGTTCTCTATCACTTCATTTATATTGATCTCTCAGAATTCTTAGTTAACATTTCTGTCATGCCCTTACTATTTTTTCTCCTTGACTTTAGTAGAGCAAAGGTGATGTTCAAGAACTAAGTAGATCCAAAGAGGTCAGCTGACACAGAGATTTACAATCTTTTACAATAGACTAGTTTATCGAAAGCACATCAAAAACTTGTTAAACATATAAAATTTTGTCCTCCGTTGAGAATTATTGAACTATTATTTTCTATGATACAGTCTGCAAAATTGTCCTTTAACACTTCTTCAAGTGTTCTGATGTTCAAGTATGTTAAGATATGTTTATTTAGGTTGGCACATGTGTCTGATTCACAGATAAGGAAGATTGTGTTTAAATGTAAGGTAACTGAAAACTTCTCAGTATGCACTAGAGTACGTGGAGTAATGCAGTATATTATATACAATGTATATACCTATATAGTGTTTAGAACATCTTTTTTCAGCAGAGATGTCCATTAATTTCCATTGAGACTTTTAAAATAAATTGTAAATCATTTTAAGATTGAACAATGAGCCTTGTATTAACTGTGACAGCTTGCTACTATATGTAGGTGCTTCAGTTTATGGGATAGATTGTTAGTATATGAAAAATCTCCCAATTTTTTTAATGTACCTAAAGCCCAGCATTTACCTTCTCTTTAGTTATTCTCTTCAAACACTTTGTATTGGTGCCTTTCTCTTCACTCTTTATGTCAACTAGTTTATCCTTATTGTATTATTTGTGAGCTCAGAAAACTATATAAATTTTTGAAACACCAATGATGTGCTTCCTGAGACTTGTTGAAGTCCCCCCTCCCTCTCACTCTCTCTCTGTACCTTTCTCTCCCTCTGTACCTCTCTCTCCCTCTCTCTCCCTCCCTCCCTCTCTCTCTATTTCTCTTTGACACACACACACACACACACACACACACACACACATCCAAGGTCAAGAAACTTTACTTACCATAACAGTTTCTTCTGTTACTGTGTCAATCGAAATAGGTAAGTGTTGCCTCAAGGATAGAAAAAAAAGTAGTAGTGCCAGCCTGAGCTATTTAAATTCCACTGCTCACTTCTACCCTGGTCAGTGAACAGAAAGCAATGGAAATGTTTTCTTAACATCAGACTTTTAGGCAGTCCTTGTGAATTGGAATTAGGAGTCATAATAATAATTGATAAAAATAAATAGCAAGCATCCAGAAATCACATATCTAAACTAAGATTAAAAATATAATTTTAAAAGGACAGTGGCAGGAGCAGAAGGAGGTAAAGGTAATGTAAGCCAAAAGTGTGCCTGAATCGGGGTCTGCAGCAGTCACACTGTGTTCACTGACTAAAAGAAAAGCACATAGGAGGAGAGGGTCTGAAAAGACCCTTGCAGATGACTTTGGACACAAAGTGCTCTAATACTCTCTGAACTGGGTATTCAGAAACTTTAAAGCATTCTATAATTTTAGTTTGAAACCAGATTTAAAGAGAAAGAGAGAAGTTAGTTCATCAAGAGGTGTAGCAGTTTTCACTTTGGACATCTAAACATACAAGGAGTCAGGGGACAGAGTTCCCATGAGCCTTATTCCTGCAAACACTCATAATTACTTCAGGTCTCTCTCTGTACTGTAATTGACCAAGTTAGTATAGTACTGATGTCAAATAAAAGTGATGGTTTATTTCTTTTTATATGTTGTGACTTTAACAATTTTTCATTTTGCATTGATTTACAATGAGAGTTATTCTAAAAATGTGCTTTGTAATAAAATAAACATATCTCCATGGAACAAGGTCCCTGCTCATAAACTCTTATGAATGCAATTCCAAATCTGCCCGTTTCCACCTTGCACACAATTTAATGTCACAGGGCATGCATTGTTTGAATAATTTTCATGTTTATGGTTAAAGATGTTATACTAAACTCATACATCTGATTCCAATCTTAGTTACTATAGGTGATGCTTTCTACAAAGGCACATATGTCATAAAGACAGGAGAAACAAAAAAAAATTGCAGACGGAATCCAGATAAAGCTGGGAGACTGAATGTAATCCTCAATTTTACTGAATTTTGGAGGTATTTTTCTCCCAATGTAGGCTCCTGAACTCCTTTCATTTAACAATTTATTTAGAAACCTTGTAACTATAAATTATGTCCCCACTCCACGTAGTGAATTTGAGATTCCTAGATTTCCATAATCTATGATCCAAAACTTAGGAAATCAATGAGCTTCAGTTGTGCCTTCTAGAATATTTTCTCACAGGCTATTTTCTTTCGGAGCCCGGATGTCAAACTTTGAGCTGTTTCAGGGTTGTAGAAACGCCAGCACAGGTGTTCTGATCTAGCAAATGTAAAATGCATGAATTAGTTTAAAAAGTGTTGATGCAAATAGCCATTTATACAGGTAGGTTTTTTTTCCTCCCACACCAACCAGCCAAATTTCAGTTTTAATGTTTTAACTGAAATATTTAAATGCAGTGTTTAAATTTTAGAAGTGAGCTAGAGAGAAGCCTCAGTGGTTAAGAGCACTAGATGCTTTTTCAGTACCCAGCACTCACATGGCACCTCACAACCATCTGCAACAAGAAGTTGCAGGAGACCTGACTTCTGCAAGTACCAGGCTTTAATTTGATGCACAAGCATGCATGAAACCAAAGTATCTATAAGCATATAATAATTGTTTCAAGTAAAAGAAAAAAAACTGAATGAAATAATTAAGTAGATTTACCCAGTTCAGTGGATAGGACAGTATTTTTTTAGTATGAAGATATCTGGGGAGAAATTTCAAACAAAACACTTACAATTAGAGCTACAAAAATATTTTCTGAAAAATTCTGTATGTAAGAAGAAGATATTTTGAGACCCTGTAGTGTTCACTAAAGGTAGGCTTAACAAAGTCACAATGAATTAAGGTCACAAACTTTGGTGAAACCCTTAAAGTCCAAATCTTTTTGATGTTGTGAATTGTCCCCCTTCTGGTTTAGTTTCTTCTGGACTCTCCCTATTTAACTGACAGTTGGGTTCTAAAATTTGCACACATTGAGATGAAAATTGGGCCTCTACTGTGATGATTGCTATTTCCTCTCGTGTCCTAAGTGCAAACTAACCTTTAAGTAACAGTAGCATCATGCAGTGCAGACTTGTGCGTCTGCTTGATTCAGTTTGCCGTGACCTTACCAGGCCTGAATTGGAATCGTGCCCATTTCGTAGACAAAGGAACTGAGTGTATTGCTGCACTTTTAAGTTTTCAAAACAGTGTTTTAAAATTGTGTTGGTTTTATTTTTTTTAAATCTCAGTTTAAAAATAACTAAAATGTTCTTTCAAAAGAGGCATCTAAACGTGTTCCTAATTTTGTATATGGGCTTAGGTTTTGTAACCAATAAAAAAGCTGCTATCAAAAAAAGAAGAGGATTAGGAGAAAGATCTTAATTCACCTTTTTATTAACAGAAGGAAAAAGGGCAAATACAGTAACGGAAAAGGTAAGATATAATTATCTCAAAAAATCAAGAGAAAAAAGCAGTAGGTGTACTCAGTGACTGAGTGCTTGTTAAGCACATCTAAGAGCCGGTTGTGTACCCTAGCATTTCTAAGGAAACTGAAACTGTAACATGAGAGGCCAGCTTGTTGGTGTATCTGTCCCGCCCAGCACCCCACAGCCGGCAAGTCCCAAAGAAAATCACACACAGGACTCCATAAGATTATAAACTGATTGGCCCATTAGTTCAGGCTTCTTGTTAACTCTTATAGCTTATATTAACCCATTATTCTCATCTATGTTAGCCACGTGGCTCAGTACCTTTTCCAGCTGGGCAGGTTACATCTTGCTTCTCTGTGGTCTGGGCAGGAATGGCGGAGGAAGCTTCCTGCTTCCCAGAATACTCCCATTCTCTTTGCTCCACCTCTACTTCCTGTCTGGTTTTCCCGCCTGTACTTTCTGCCTGGCCAATCAGCATTTATTTAAAATATGATTGACAGATTACAGACAATTCTCCTGCACCATTTTTCTGTTACAAGCAAGGAGAGATATGCAAGGTTTGTAGAAAGTTTGGTTCTTTCGTACTTACTAAATTGTAAATAATTCTATCATAATCCTAGTTGCCCAACAGGAGTGCTTGGATGATGTACAGTGGTTAAAGTGGTTAAAGGGATTAGCCTCTAGATGTGAGCAAACAACAGGAGAAATTCTACTCAAATCATTACCCTAGCTGGATACCCGTCTTCTCAACTGCATCAGGAAATACTGATTTCCCAACACCCGAAGCTTCCTTTCTCATTTATGATTG